GAGTCAAGTTGGGAATTGATAATTTCTTTTTTTTTTTTTTTTTTTACAGAAGATCAGTTTAGTGTACATTAAGTAAAGATTTCAATCGTTTGCACCCCCATAGAAACACAAAGTGAAATATACTGTTTGAGTACTCGTTATAGCATTAAGCCTCAGTGTACAGCACATTAAGGACAGAGATCCTACATGAGGAGTAAGTGCACAGTGACTCCTGTTGTTGACTTTACAAATTGACACTCCTGTTTATGGCATCAATAATCTCCCTATGCACCAGTCATGAGTTTCCAAGGCTATGGAAGCCCCTTGAGTTCTCCGACTCTTATCTTGTTTAGACAAGGTCATAGTCAAAGTGGAGGTTCTCTCCTCCCTTCAGAGAAAGGCACCTCCCTCTTTGAAGACCTGTTCTTTCCACTGGGATCTCACTCACAGAGATCTTTTTGCCAGAATGCCTTGGCTTTCCATGCCTGAAATACTCTCATGGGCTTTTCAGCCAGATCCGAGTGCCTTTAGGGCTGATTCTGAGGCCAGAGTGCTATTTAGGACATCCGCCATTCTATGAGTCTGCTGAGTATCTCACTTCCCATGTTGGATCTCTCTCCCCTTTATTTATTCTGTCGGTTAGTGTTAGCAGATACTAGACTTGTTTATGTGCTCCCTTTGACTCTTAGTCCTTTCATTATGATCAATTGTGAACTGAAATTGATCACTTGTCTATTCCTTGATTATTAAAGCTATTGTTTGCTTTAAATCAAGAAGTGTTTGCTCTTTTTCTTTTTTATTGAGATAAACTTACATGAAGTACACAAATTCTAAACATACAGCTTGATGAATTTTCACAAATGCAATCACACCCGATCAATATATAGAACATTGTCAATGTCCCAGTAAGTATCCCAGGGGAATTCCAGTCCAAGGTAAACTACCATCACCATTTCAACCTTTCCTTGTCTCAGTTGATAAGATGGCTAGAACAGTAGACTGCACAAAGAAATAGAATGTATTCAGAATGGCAGGAGATATTTTAATAATTCATTGCTAGAGAAAAGAACTTAGTGAAGGTAGTTCTGGCTTTTAAATTTTTCTTGAATACGTAACAAAAATGTCCTTAAAAATTATAATCTAGGACATACAGACTCGTATTCAGCACTCCACACCTGTGAACGGGATCTATGAACATAATGGCTTTCTCTGACTGACCAGTCAACACAGTGAAAAACGGAGCTGGAGACTGAATGTTCGTGGCTTTTAGTACAGCTCAGATGCTGACATCCTAACCTCCAGTGTGATGATTTTAGGTGGCAGGGCTTTGGGAAGTAATTAGGTCATGAGCGTGGAGCCCTCATAAGTGGGATTAATGCCCTTACAAAAGAGATCCCACGGAGCTCTCTAGCCCTTTTTTCCTATCAAGTAAAGATACAAAGAGGAGTCGGCAGTGTGCAACTGGAAACTGGCCCCCATTAGAACTCCTCCATACTGGCACCCTGGTCTCAGGTTTGCAGCCTCTAGATCTATGAGAAATAAATTTCTGTTGTTGAAGCCACTCAGTTCATGGTATTCTGTTACCACAGCCCAAACTAAGGTAGTCACCAAGAGCTCAGCCGGCAGCATCTTCTCTATTCATTCATGAAGCAAGCTAGACTGACATTAGCTAGAATTTCACTTCCAAATTCAGATTCCCAAGGAGAGGTATTTTATTGTTTCAGTTTGAATTGCCCCTGGACCAGTTCTCTATGGTCAGGCAGGGGTTCATGCTCAAAAACAATGGCTGTCTGAGATACATAATTGTTATTATTCAGATCTGGAAGTGAGAAGCAGTTCCTAGAAAAAGAAAGGATTCTCAAGACACACTATTAGGTCCATATTACTCTGACCATATTTGAACCTGATCTCACATTCTCCAAATACTTGCTCCATGATATTAGAAAAAAATTATTTTCAAAATTACTTCATGTAGTGAATAACAGATTGTTTTCCCGGCATGTTTCAAGAACTGTGCTAAGCTCTAAATAAATTATATATCTTTCCTCAAAAAAATTTAGAACTAGTGAGGAAACAGACAAGATGATGATAAGTCCTCAGTATGATAGATACTACTACACAATCAAGATGAGGAACATCAGGCCAACCGGCCATATGAGGCCCTTGAGATCAGTTGGTCTGGTCCTGCCAAGGCAGCTGCAGGCAGGACTTGAAATTCAATAAATCTATAGCAGGCTAATTTTTAAGTTGCTAATTTTGTATGGCCCTTGGCAGAAAAAAGGTTCCCCATCCCTGCTAAGCAGGGATAAGGCATAGTTGTGTATAAGGCAGCATTAACCTGAAAGGGAGAGGGTAGAGAAAGCTTCCTAGAGAAGATAACCTTAGAGTTCTAAAGATAAAGATGAACTGCTTTACTCTGTGGTTGGGGAAAAGAGAAAGGAGGAAAGTAGGCAAAATCAATTCCAATAAGGGATTTTTAAAAAAACATTTATTATAGAAATCATAAGGGGATTTTGCTAAGTTTAAGTTTTAAAATTAATTTGGGGAGAATTGAGTTTTCTTTCCAGGAAAAAAAGTACATTATTTTCCCATATATTTGAGTCTTTTGTGGAAGTACACACATGGGTATAAGCACAGATATGGTTGTTAGGTAAGATATGAGTCTCATTCCTGGAATTAGAATATGAGACTTGGGCCCTGGGAAAATTTCTCTCTAAGCCTAGATTTTCTAGTCTATAATGTATGAATAATTATAGGACCTACTTTGGGGGCTGCTGTCAGGATTAAATGACATATTACATGTAAAATGCTTGCCCAGTGCTAGCACATAGCATGCACTCAATAAAAAGCATTTCTCTCCCCCCCTTTAAAAAACAGCTTTACTCAATTATAATTGGCATACAGTAAACACATATATACACACATATATAAAGCATACATTTCACATATATATACACATAAATATACATATATTTAAAACATCACTTTGGTGAGTTTTGATATACATCAATAGAACTAGCACCACAATCAAGATAATGAAGATGTCTATTACTCTCAATTTCTTCATGTCCCTTGGCATTCCCTCCCTTCAACCCCACCCCTGTGTAGCTTCTCACTTCTTCAGATAGGTCCTATAATTCCTTATAAACACAAACTTAATTTTTTAATTTTTTAAAGAGAGAATGAATTTTCTTTTTACTTATTTGCTTGAGAAATAGAGAGACAAAGAGCTGCTATCAGCTGGTTTACTCCCTAAATGCCTGCAATGGCCAGGGCAGGGATAGGCAAAAGCTTGGAGCCAAGAACTCAGTCTAGGTCTCTTATGGGTGCATCAGGAACCCAAATACCTTAGCCATGATCTGCAGTCTTCCTGGATCTGCATTAGCCAGAAGTTGGAATCAAGAGCTGAGCAGGGACTTGGAACCCAGGCATTCTGTTATGGGATTTGGGTGTCCTGACCAGTAGCTCAACCACTAGAGCAAAAACCCAACTCTGATTTTGTTATTTTTTGAAAGTGATCTTTTCTCCCACGACATTTTAAAACTGGTGATTGTTGTTTTAGGAAAACTATCTCTGTAACCACCTTACTGAACTTGTTTCAAGTCATTCCCATGCATTCTCCAAGAAAGCTGTCATAACCCCTGGAAACAATTTGTTTTTCATTTTCTTTCCAATATATATACTTACTGTTTTGTTCTGTTTGGCCATACTGGGTTCAGATTAGGAACTGAGGAAAATGGGCTAGTAGCAGCAGGCCTGCTTATCACAACTTTACAGCCTAGGGCAAGAATACAAAAAGACACGCCACATGTCTAAATACGTAAGAGTATAAGTCAAGCTAACCACCTGTTGGATAAAAAAGTTTTATTCTCCTCCCTTGTCACACCTAATTGATAGCAAACACACATATAACAACATGGAAGGCCAGGTTCAAAATTAGAATCCTTGAGTACTATATCTCCCTACTGTATTTGAGGTAGTTTTTTTTTTTTTTCAAGAATTTAAAACAAATGACCTTACTTCAAATGATCTTGTTTAAGTGACTCTTGCATAAAAAACATTTGCCTATGGTAGTGCCCAATACCTTAATTTTTCTCCTCAGAATTAAAATTTGATAAACATTTCATTCCTAGGGTACTGTAAAACACACAAGCATGGGCATCCATTACACCCCCAAAGAAAACCCAACTTTCTTAGTAAATTTGATGCTTTAATTTAGAAACTTCCTTTCAAGACTTTCTCAAGGTCTTCGGGCCCCTAATGGTCCATAATCCACAGTTTTCTCTGTCCAATTCGACTCTCCTGGAAGAACCCAAGGACCGAGTTGCCTAAGCTCTGGTCTGAACATGCTGAGGACAACCGCCATCCCTGGAGGTATTCTTAGCAAGTCATCTCAACAGTAACAGACACACATGAAAAAGGGCTGAGTCTAGAAAGGTAGCCATCCCGAGAGCAGGGCCTGTGCCCTGGACAGGGCTCCAAAGCCAGGCACCTGCTTGTGCTCGTGGCAGCAGCTGGTCTAACTGGAATAACGAAGGGAAGGGAAATTAGGAAATGCAGGTGGCGTTCCTCCCGTGTCACAGACGGGCTGAACTGGAGTGAGTCACTTAAAACTCCGCTGTGCCTCAGAGTCACTATCCATAAAACTGGGGTAAGAACGTTTGCCTTAAGCACCCCACCAGTTTTCGGAGGTCATCACACTTTGAGCTTCAACCGCTGGGGCCAGTAACAAGCGAAGGACTCTTGCCAAGTCCACCTCACAGGACTTTTGGGGGGCGAAGGAGAGAAGGCACAACTTTTCTGAGCTTTTATTTCTACACCTGTACACAGCCAAGAAAGCACATTCTGAAAATTCCAGGAAAATAGGAAAGGAGCAAACACGCAAGAGGGCAAGACAAATGTGAGCTGTCTTCCAACAGAGACCTAAAAAGCGCTCGTGCGTCTCGCCTCCCGGCTCCAGTGTCCCAGCTCCACAGCGCAAATCCAGAACGCTTTTTAAAGAGTGGCACAGTCCAGAACCACACCTGTTTTTGTACTCACCCAGCGCCCGCCACAGCCCACCCGGAGGCTTCGAGGGGCGGGAACGGGGTGGAGCCTGCCCGGCTCGCCCCTCGTGACGCCCCGCCCCGTCACGACCGCGCCTGCGCCGTGCACACCTACCGGCCTCGAGCGCCCCGGCGGGAGGTAAGGGGCTCGCGGGAGGACGCCTCGGGGGCGTCGGACCCTGACAGGCTCGGTGGGCGGGTTGCCTGTTCCGCGCGCGGTAGAGGCGCCTGGCTGGAAGCCCGGCAGTAGGCCAGAAGCCGTAGCGCCCTGGGCTCTCGTCCTGGCAGCCAGAAGTGGCGGAGCCTCACTCCAGTTTCGTTTTTGGAACAGCTTTCCAAGCGGGTTGTTGGGAGGCCGCGGACCGGGCGAGCGTGATGGCCTCCTGGCGTTGTGGGGCGGAAAAGTTGACGACTCTTTCCCCGCCCGTGGCGCTCGGCGGGCCCCAGGACGTCAACTGGCCCCGCGTCGTTCGCTGAAGGGGGCTTGGGGGGGTGTGGTCCGCTGGGTGGCAGTGGATGACACGGCGAGCGATGACGCGACGCTCACGCTGAAGGATAGTGAGGGGAGGTCGGGGAGAGGTCGGAGCCGCCAGAGCGCCCCACACCTGGCTCTTAGACCTGCCTTATGGAGCCTCAGAGGGGAGTGCATAAGGCGGGACCGACGACCTGGGCTTTTCTCTCCGAGTGCAGCACCCCTTCATCAGTAAGACACACACACAGCGACGTCCCTGAGGCAGCCGCAAGCCACACAAGCGGGGCCTTCATGTTAAGAGGGCCGGAAATGGAGCTTTTAATTTATAAATAACCTCTTAAGTAACTTAGCCTCTCAGTACTTTTTCTTCATCACAAGCATGAAGAAGTATAGTGCCCGTCTCATAGAAGTTGTAAGCAGCTGGCTCACTGCTGGCATCCACTGCCGCCGTAATTGGTGCTGTGAATATGATTGCAGTTCTTTGACTTATGAATGTTTTCTTTTACTTTTTTTTAAAAGATTGATTTTATTTATTTGAAAGTCAGAGTTACACAGAGAGAGTGACAGAGAGAGAGAGAGGTCTTCCTTGCGTTGGTTCACTCCCCAGATGGCCACAACAGCGAGAGCTGTGCCGATCCAAAGCCAGGAGCCAGGAGCTTCTTCCGGGTCTCCCACGCGGGTGCAGGGGCCCGAAGACTCAGGCCATCCTCCACTGCTTTCCCAGGCCATAGCAGAAAGCTGGATCTGAAGAGGAGCAGCCGGGACTAGAACTGGACCCTTATGGGATGCCGGCGCTTCAGGCCAGGGCTTTAACCCACTGAGCCACAGCACCGGCCCCAACTTATGAATGTTTTCAGCGATTTTATGGGAAACATCAACTCAAAGGCATTTCTTAAAAATTGAGTTGAAATAAAGTTAAAATTATAATAGTTCTTCATAGCATCCCTTAATGTTAATATTTTACAGTACAGTTATTAAAAGCAAGAAATTAATATTAGAAAAGTACTGTTAATTTGATCTAATCCAGGATCTGATCTAGGATTATTAGATTATTACACTAGGGTTATTCTGGCTCCTCTCCTGCAATATGTGACACTTCTTCAGTCTTTTCCTGCTTTCATGACCTTTACACTTTTGAAGAGTCCTAGTCAGTTCTTTTGTAGTATTCCTCAAATTGCGATTGTCCTATGATGTGTCATGATTAGATTAATATTGTGCATTCTTTTTTTTTTTTTTACCGAGAATGCCATAAAAAGCGTGCCCTTCTCAGTTCATCACATTCAGAGTACATAATATGGTTTACTGACAATGATATTAATCTTGATCATCTTGTTTAAGATAGTGTCTGCTGTGATTCTCCAATGTTAAGGTACTGGCTTTTTTTCCCCTCTACAAATATGCTGTTGCCAAATTTAGCATCCATTGGTGGATCTTGCTTTCATAATAATTATTATGGTGTTCTAATGGTTATTTTTTCTTTCTTTCTTCATGTGTTAATTGGAATTCTCATGTAGGGAAGAGCTATCCTTGCATTCCATTCATTCACTAATTTGTATCAGTATGGGCATGGATACTTATTTTCCTATTGGTTATTATCTTTTCTTATTTTATGCCTCAGATTGTTCCAGCCTTTACCACTTACAATTTTTTTCTGGTTGCTTTCTGTACCCTTTCTGCATGCCCCTGTCCTTTTTTGAGAATTTTCTTTTTTTCTGGTACCTTATGGTGCTCCAGGCCTATCTTGTGTTTTCCTTGTCCCAATACTGGCATAAATTACTTCTCCAAAGATCTTTGTTTTCTTTTGTCTGGAGAGTGGTATTTAGACACCAAGATCTGGGATCTAGGTGTGCTCATGGCTTCTGAGATGTCATTGATTCTAGAGCCTGGGCAGCAGTATATGTGTATATATATTCATGAATTCATAAAGATCTATATTTCTGTATATGTATATTTTTTTATTTTAAAAACTTTGAGAAAGAGAGAAAAACAGAGGAAGATATATCTTCTATTCACTAATTTACTCTCCAAATGCCCACCACATCCAGGAGCCTGGAACTCCCATCTTGGATGGCAGGTCCCCAGGGTACTTTAGCCATGCCTTATAGGATGCATATTAACAAGAAGCATGATTGAGAGCAGAGCAGTGGGACTCTAACACTCCTATATGGGATGCAGGCATCACAAGTGGTCACTTAATCCATTGTGCCACCATGCCTGTCCCATCCATCTGTATATTTTAAAAAGCAAATTTCAACCCAAAAACCCTAATCCTACTCTAACACCACAGGATTCATTCTAGCTTTGTCCTTTATTACTCTTCTCTGACAATGAAAAGTCAGGCTTGCATGTTCTATGAAATATATTGCTATTTGTTCAGTCCTAGTATAAACATACTTTCAGGGTTTTTAAAAAAGATTTATTTATTTGAAAGGCAGAGTTACAGAAAGGCAGAGGCGGAGAGAGAGAGAGGTCTTCCATCTACTGGTTCACTGTCCAAATGGCTACAATGGCCAGGGCTGAACCAGGCTGAAGCCAGAAGCCAGGAGCCTCTTCCAGTTCTCCCATGTGGGTTCAGGGGCCTCAGCACTTGGACCATCTTCTGCCGTTTTTGCAGGCACATTAGCAGGGAGCTGGATTGGAAGTGGAGCAGCCAGGACTTGAACTGGTACCATATGGGATGCCAGCACTGCAGGTGGCAGCTTTAACCACTATGCTGCAGTGCCAGCCTCAATTTCAGGATTTTTAATGTAAACCCTGGTGAGATATTTACTGAGTACAGTGCAGTTATGTTTGTTTTTAGCCTTACAGTATTCAATTAAAAATTCAATCTAAAGTTTCTTAGATTATTTTTCCCCATGTCTTTCAGAGCAGTCCTGCTATTTAAAATAGTTAATTTTAATTTTATGGTCTATATTCCATTTTGAGCTCATCTATATCATGTTATTTCTAAATATATATTCAGTAAAATTCATGTTTTGTGGCATACAGTCTATGGGTTTTTGGTTTAATTATGTAGTTATGTGTCTACCAACATTGTTGTGGTGACAGTACAAATCCCCCACCCCAAATATCTCATTATACTTTTTTAATGTTAAAAATTGTGTGACTGGGGCTGGTGTTGTGACACAGTAGGTTAAACCTCTGCCCGTGGTGCTGGCTTCCCATATGGTTACCAGTTAGAGTCGGGCTGCTCTTCTTCTGATCCAGTTCTGTGCTTATGGACTGGGAAAGCAGCAGAGGATGGCCCAAGTGCTTGAGCCCCTGAACCTACATGGTAGACCCAGAAGAATCTCCTGGCTCCTGACTTCAGATCTGCTCAACTCCAGCCATTGCAGCCATCTGGGGAGTGAACCAATGGACAGAAGACCTCTCTCTCTCTGTCTATCTTTCCCTCACTGTGGCTCTGCCTCTCAAATAAATAAATTAATTAAAAAATTAATATGAAAACTTTACTAAAATTTTGGGAATTAGACATTTTGGTGTGATTTTCATTTTCACAGGCATATTATTTTTTAAGAGTTTATTTTATTTGAAAGGAAGAGAGAGAGCACGTGAGCAAGTAAGCTTCCATCTACTGGTTCACTTCCCAGTTGGCTGCAACAGCCGGGACTGAGCCAGGCCAACGCCAGGAGCCTGGAGCTCCATCAGGGTCTCCCACATGGGTGGCAAGGGCAAGTACTTGGGCCATCCTCCTGCTGCATTTCCAGGCATATTAGCAGGGAGCTGGATTGGAAGTGGTACAGCCAGGACTTCACCCAGCACTCTGATATGAGATGCTGGGCATTGTAGGTAAAGCTTAGCTCAGTGCACTACAATGCTGTCCTGTCATAGGCATATTTTGTGCAATTAGGATCTTAAAGTAGGGGCAGGCATGTGGCATAGTGAATTAAGCCAGCACTTAGGACACTAGCATCCCATATCAGAATGATGATTCTAGTCCCAGCTCCTCCACTTCTGATCCTGCTATTGAATCCCAGGAGGCATCAGATGATAGTTCAAGTGCTTGGACTCCTGCCACCTGCCTGGGAGACCCAGACAGAGTTCTGAGTTCCTGGTTTTGACCTGGCCCAGTTTCTGGCTATTAGAAGCATTTAGGGAATGAATGAGAAGATAGAAGAACTCTGTCTCTGTCCCTCTGCCTTTCAAGTAGATGAAAATAAATATATTTACAATATTAATGTGAATTCATTTTTCATCCTTGTGTCTTGATTATGTCTGAAATATGTTCCAAATTCATGACCAGAAAGTCAAGAAGTGCTAAAATACTCTTTTGCTCATTATTCAATCACACTTCTATGAAGATTTATTTATTTATTTGAAAGGCAGAGTTACAGAAAGGGAGGGAGGGAGAGAGAGAGAGAGAGATCTTCCATCCACTGGTTCACTCCTCAGATGGCTGTAACAGCTGGGACTGAGCCAGGCCAAAGCCAGGAGCTGTGCCAATCTGAAGCCAGGAGCCAGGAGCTTCTTCCAGGTCTCCTATGTGATGCAGGGGCCCAAGGACTTGGGCCATTTTCTGCTGCTTTCCTTGGTACATGAGCAGGAAGCTGGGTAGGAAATGGAGCAGCCAGGACTCAAACCTGCCACAGTATGGGATGCTGACACTACTGGTGGTAGCTTTACCCACTACGCCACAGCTCTGGCCCTTCAATCACACTTCTAAACCA